AGACAGACAGACAGAATAATAGATAGACAGACAGACAGACAGACAGACAGATGATAGATAGATAGACAGACAGACAGACAGACAGACAGACAGACAGATAGATAGATGATAGATAGATAGACAGACAGACAGATGATAAATAGATAGATAGATAGATAGATAGATAGATAGATATGTGAATGTGTCTGATCTGTTGCTGTGTGATTGTCATGCAGCTGGAGATGCGCTCTCAGGACCGTCAGCTGGCTCAGACTCTGCTGGGACTCAATAAGGAGATTCAGAGGCTCAGACGAGAGAACGGATCTCTGCTTCTGGACGCTGACAGCACTGAGCACCTGTGACCCCACAGAGCAGAGCAGGGCTTAATGAGAGAACAATGCCCTGACAAGCAGATGCCTGTAGAGGAGTGGAGCACAAATAACTCTCCTGTCCTGGAGTGCACTTTGTTAAAATGTCTTGTTAGTGAAATGTATGTGAAAACTTGACCAAATATCAGTCAAACTGGGTGCTGAGATTTGTACTCAAAACTACATATACATCCCTTTACACCTGGCATTAACATACCATTTTGGTGATCAAATCACGATTGGAAAGCACTTGACCACAGGTGTAAATGCATCCAAGACACATTGTAATCATAAAACCACACTAGGATGGATTCTGACCCCTGATTTTATAGGATTTCTATGTGATGATCAGACTGGAGAAGCATTGGAATGACAGTGTAAATGCAATGCAATTAAACATATCCTATTAATAATATATATAATACTATTCGGATACAAAACATGTTAATACCAGATGTAAAGGGAACTAGCCTTAAGAAGGTTGAGACTTGTATGCTTGGCATAGATACAGTTTCTATGATTCATTTGTCTATAGAAGATGTAGCTCATACCTGTTCTTACTACTAATGAGATTGTGTGATCATCTGCTGTATGACTGAAAAACCAAGTGTTGATATTTGTTCAGCTTTGAACATGGAATTATTAGCATAGCATATGCAATGGGTGCAAAAACATGTCATCATCTGTTTATTAAAATGTCTTGATGTTTTAAACTCCTTATTGCATCATGAAATGATTAATCTCAACATTGATCAGGTTTGTAGGTTTTTATTATCATACTTGTGGTACTAGTATGATACTAAGTATGATGTCAAAGCATGTCATAGCATATTATTAGTGATATTTGTCCCAGAAAAATTAGATCAGTGAAAAAAAATTTTTTTCTTTATTTTCCAATGACTCTCATAATACAATTGAATGAGTTGTTCATTGTTCAACTTTCAAGACAATATTCTGGTAACTTTCTTTTGCTGTCAGTGTCATGCACTTAGTTTGAAGAGGCACTTCAGTTTTGTGAAATGAGAGAAAATACTTTTACAGATATATAAGCGCTGTTTAAGTAAAACAAACTTCCTCAGTGCATTCTATGTATCTCTATTAGTGCATTCAGGTAGAATAGTAGTCTATCACCAAAGACTTTGTCAAGTTTTTCACAGTGTAAAATGTTTGACTTTTTCACTTTTATAGTAGCCTATATAGTATGTTCTGAGCATATGGCAGTTGTGTTACTCCAGTTGTTTTAAATACAATATCCCGTATGACATTATGACATTTCTCACATAAGTAATTCATCATTTGTTCTTCTGTGAGACTCAACACTACTGTAACATGCTGGAACATGTTGTATTAATCAAACAAATGTGATCTGAACTGGAGGTTTCAGGGCACAGAGCTGCGTCTACTAAAGGCCCGTTTGGGCAGGTAGGCTCCAAGAGGAGCGGGGCTCATACATGTGCTAAAGGAGTAGATGGAAGGGTAAAAGCTCATTTCTCCTGAGAAGGAGGACATACTGCTCCCCCCACCCTCACTTCCAGAGTCCCAACAAGGTTCCTCTTCCTCCTCTTCCTCATCTTCTATGGCTTTTGCACACTCCTGTTTCAGTTCCTGAATGCCGTCATGAAGATCCATCAGCTGGCGAATCAAAGCTTGGTCCTGAGAGCGCATCTCCATCTACAAAGCAGAGGAATGTTTTTATGCATGCTTTTATTCAATTATTGTTAGATGAGTAGGCTACATCAGAGTTAATAAACTTTTTAACAGTATTTTGTGTAAGCAAATACATGCTCAACATTCAAGTCAGATTTAAAATGAAAAAAAAAAGAATTTTAAGAATTTAACTCAGTTGTAAATAATACACACTGCAGAAAGTGAATATCATTTTAGTCAAGGAGCTATATCTCTAGCTATCTACCTATTTTGTTCATAGATATGTAGGCTATAGCATAGTCCTATCTATGATTTTGTTGACATAAGTAGGCCTATATGTTAAATGTTTCAACCATGTTTTTAAATAGCCTATAACATTTTTGTAACCACAAAAGTTACATTATGTTAAATGTTTTAACAGCGTTTTCAAATAACATTTTTGTAACCACAAATGTTACATTATGCCGAAGTTAAAGTGTGGCCACGTATACCATAAGCGAAATTTCGTGTGTGATATCCAGTTATTTAAAGGGGTCATATGATGCGACTCACGTTAGGCCGCTGTGTTTTTCGTTGTGAAAGCGAAACTACTTTGTTTGGCCTTCCAAAAGAGGACGATATCGCTTCGTCATGCCTGGAGCTGATCCGTGCTGGTCGCTGAGGAAATACTTCAACTTCGTGCTGTCGATCGCCGGATCGGCTTTCACCTTGGACGAAGCAGAGTCCAGCCCGGGATAGTCACATGTGGTTCTTCTTCTTCTTCTTCTTCTGTGGGTTTATTGGCCAGTTGCATACCCATCACATGTGGTAGCCGCAGGCATCACAATATGGTAGGGGCGTAACATTTCCGTCACACGCTTGAGGAATTTGGCCAATCACAATGGACTGGATAGCTCGCCAATCAGAGCACAGGTATTCGGCCAATCATAACGCATTGGATAGCTGGCCAATCACAGTACACCTCGCTTTTTCAGACCGATGAGTTTTGTAAAAATCGACGCGTTTCAGAAAGGCGGGGCATAGAGGAGAAACAATAATGTACAATATGCGGAAAATAATGTGTTTTTTGAACCTTAAACCGCATAAACACATTTCATTACACCAAATACACAAAATAATGTTCTTTTTAGCAGCATCATATGACCACTTTAAATCTGGCGAAAAAATTTCCCAATCCCCACGAAGATTTCGCTTGTTTTCAGATTTTGGTCTCGCCAATACGCCGCGTTGACTAATAGCCTAGAAAGTGGGCTGATATGAAAATAATTATGTGCACCCTTATTATGCACTCTTACACTGTTGACAATTAATGGACCCTTTTTACCCGCGAAATTTCACGGAATTACACAGTAGGCCTATAAATACAGCTGCGTTCGGGAACCTCAGCAGTAAGGTAAAAACTGACAAAACTGTCTGAACCCGTATAAATTTAAATATCTTAAATATAATCAACTAAAAGCTTTAGTCTTCTGTTAAAGACGCCTTAAGATAGCCTAGCTGACGACAAACTAATGGATCTGAAAAGGCGCCTAAAAACTGCCAGAAATTTCTCAACAAAGGCGACCCCCTCAAAGGCTTTTTATAATTAGCACACTGGTATATAAAGCTGACATACTTTGCATATCCACTTCATAAATCATCAAAACCTTTTTGCCTAAAAACATTCAAATCAGTAGGCCCTATTCAAACCTCATTCTGGGAAACTGTTTAGAAACAATTATCCTCCACCTCAATTTACATTTTTCTCTTTATCCAGAACATCTTTCTAAACTAAACCTCAAGAAAATAAACACAGCGAGACACTGGGAAAGCTCTGACACTCAAAGACTCTGAAAAGAGTGACCAGAACAAACATTACAGTTCTAACAAATTCACATATTCATGCCAGAACTATCAGGTCAAGGTTAAGGTGCTACTATGCTGAGTTCTTATCCTTGTATTCAACAGCGGGAGTTGAAAGTATTTTAGACGGGCAATGTCTTTTTCAGATGCAAATGTCTTTTTCCTCTTTCTGCTCTTTTTATTGGTGGCCATGGCAGTCTAATTGGATGCATTGAGAGGAAATAATATCCTGCATTCCAGCACATTTCATGAGCCTGTTCTGACCGCAGAAAGGACGAAACAGGAAGTGTTCCCGCCAAAACCTGCATTAATTACACTGGCAGACTAATAATGAAACCTGCTTTGAAAGATTTAATCAAAGAAAATTAAAGAGAAAAGGACATGAACTTTGTTGGGAGCAGGTGAAACCCTTCCTGGGCACTGAACTGCTTATAAGAGTGAACAGTATTTGCTTGAGTGTGTTTACGTGTTTTTCTCTATTTCACTGAAGCACATTTAATGGAACTCAATTGAAACCTGATTTCCTATAGGAGAAAACACAAAACAACACTATTTATGTGGGCAGCTGAGTGAATTGGCATAAATGCTGACTGGAAGTGAACACTGGAACTTGTAGGAGTCATTAGAACTGTGTTAAGGCTGGAAAAGAACAATAATGTGAATGCTGTAGGCAAGCTCTTTAAGTTAATGAGCAGAATATAGAATGTGGAATAACAAGTAGTGGCCTAACTGACCTGAATTCACCCGACTCCAGAATTAATTTTTAAACAACCATACATCCATTCTTATCAAAGTACAGTGTGTTTGACATTTAGTCATAAACATGTTCTAAATCAATTACAGTTAAAATATCGCTAAAGGAATTGTGACAAGAATAACAGACATTGTTCAAGATTTAGATTTGAAGTCACAGATGTACTGAAGTGATGAATATAGACCAATGAGACATAATATTAGCTCCTCTTAAAGGGTTTCTGTGGTGTCTTTTGTGTGAAAGGTTGCCATGACATGTCATGAGTACAGAGGCTGTAAATGCCAAGCAATATATCTACTGAGAATGGGCCTGCTCAGAATTTAACCCCCGGGACGTTGTAAGGGTCGCAACATGAATGTTAATGACGAGACGGTCGTAATTTTTTACTCATGAGGAGTAACGTTGTAAAGACGCAAGCTGACCTTTGATTTTACTCGAGTTTGAAACAACATGACCTATGTCTACAACAATAGACACGCATGAAATGCTTAGACCACCCAGGACACCCACTATACACAGGGAGAAGGAAAAAATTTAAATGAAATAAAATCGATAAAAATTATACATCTCTTACATTATGAGACTCTTATAGGTCTCTTATGCTCACCAATTAACACTATTTATATGATAAAAATACAGCAAAATAAGTAATATTGTGAAATACTACAATTTTAAATATGAATCATATGATCCTCCAGAAATGATTCTAATATGCTAATATATTCGAATAATTTGCTGCTCAAGAAACATTACTTATTATTATCAATGTTGAAAGCAGTTGTGCTGCTTAATATTTTTTTCTGAATTCTTTGATGAATAGAAAGTTCAAAATATAAGCATTTATTTGAAATAGACATATTTTGTAATATTACACAATAATTATTTTTACTGTTAATTTTGATCACTTTAATGGACCCTTGATGAATAAAAGTATTAATTAAATACTTAAAAAACATCTTGCTGACCCCACACTTTGGAAGTATAATTGTGTGTGTATATATATATATATATATATATATAATCATTATAATATAATAATTATCATTTTAATATAAATAAACAATCTGCCAAAATATAGAACAATAAAATAATTTAATTAATAAAAAAAAGAATTAAATTAATAAGAATTTATAAGTTAGGATTTTTGTGTGTAATTACCGATTATTCTTTATAAGAAAGAGGTTGAAAACAAAATAAACTGTATTGCAAAATATGACAAAAGAGTTAAGTGGTAAGACAAAAAGTAAGATACACCAGGTAAAATAACTATATTACATAATAATATATTAGAATTTTATATTTTCCGTAAATTGGTTTTCCTTAAAATCCCCTGCCCCTGGGATCTTATGCCCTTGCTGAAGGCAAAATGTTATCATGGGAAAACAAAATTGCCTCATATTTGCATTCAAATGACTAATAATGTAGTAAACTGTACTGCATGAAATCTTACCAGCTCCTTCCTCAGCCAGGCCAGGGCAGTCTCAATGTCCAGCCGGCCTGCATCCTCCTCTCCAGCCATACGCTTCCCTCTGCACACCTCCTGGGATGAGGAATGGTCCCTGCACATCACTGCTGCTTTACAGTGATCAAAAGAAGTTTCTTTACAGGAGAAATCTCTGAGTCTGGTAAGAACTACTTCCATTGTTTCTAGAAGTGCTGATGAGGCGCAGGGAACTCACTGTTCTTCTTGTCAGCTGTAGATACAGCTCTGTCACTGTTTTATCTCCCTGTCACACTGTCCACTACTGGCGAGTCCGCTCTGGGATGGACACTTAAAACACCCCCTCCCTTCACCCCCTGCCACGCCATAAACATACGCACACTCTGATTTTGCATGCGACATAAGTCTGTTTATGTGCAAGGGAGTGACGTAGAGAGACTGACGTCAGCCTCGCCTGTAGTGTTTCTGATTTGCCATGAGCTTTGTAAATGTTTAATGCAGTTGAATAGATGACGTGTGGATCTGGAGTTGCTATGGCTTCGCAGGAAGTACTAGTGAAGACAGCTGGAGGAATATCCTTGGCAGTGCCAGGATGGTAAATAGTAAGTGGACCTCTGTGGACTGAATAAGTCACAAATTACATTTGTCAGGTCATAGCTTTGATTTTGATCCCATGTAGATTTTAGTATGAACTAATATTTTTTATTCCCACAGTAGCCACTGTTGATCCTTAAACTACTCATGGGTCTAAAGTCATTGGTTGTGAACCGCCCAGGCAGCCATGTGGAGCCGCATGCTGTCATGTCCTCTCTGCGTTTCCCAAGCAACCTGCACAAATAAGCAATACATCCCAACTCGGGACAAAAATAGTGAAGACACAATTGAGGCTATATTTAAACCCAATAGATCAAACCAACAAAGTCTTTGACGTTACAGACATTCAAAGAGACAGAATGGGACCAAGTTCTCTTCATCCATGAAAAGAGAGTCTGCCTGGCCTTCCAGTTCTCTTTCAGAACCTCTGCCATGCATGAATCACCAGACTTAAATTCTAGTGTCCTACAAAAAGTTTAGCCAATTTGATAAAAAGTACCTACATAAAAACATATTGTGCATGTGGTAAATTCCCATGCAAAAGCATTGGGAAGCAATATTAATGTAATGTAACATTAATAAATGCAGTCCTCACAAGATCACACTTATTGGACATAAGAACCAGCCTGGTGGGCTCTTGGAGGCTATACCACCCTCTTGTGGTAAACCCCCCCCCATTTGCCCTCTGATACCTCAAATTCTGACTTTTAAACTTAATTTCATTAATTATTATTTAATAATAATATTAAAACACTATTACTTTGTAATAATAATTTATAATAATAAATATTAAATTATTAACAACCATATGTGACCCTGGACCACAAAACATAAGGGTCATTTTTTTAAAATCGAGATTTATACATCACCTGAGGGCTGGATAAATATTGATGCATGGTTTTTTAGGATAGGATAATATTTTACTGAGATACAACTATTTGAAAATCTGGAATATGAGGTTGTCCAAATTAAGTTCTCAATGCATATTACTAATCAAAAATTAAGCTTTGATATATTTATGGTAGGAAATTTACAAAATATCTTCATGGAACATGATATTTAATTAATAGCCTAATGATTTTTGGCATAAAAGAAAAATCAATAATTTTGACCCATTCGATGTATTGTTGTCTATTGCTACAAATATACCCGTGCTACTTATGACTGGTTTTGTGCTCCAGGGTCACATATTTGAACATTTCCAACAATATTAAACACACACACATATATATCTGTACCTATATTCCTCAGTGTAACACAAAGCCAACCACAGCTTTCCGTGCTCTCTCTGGTCATATATTTTTCATTATAAAAACACAAAGCACTAAGCATCTAATCTAATCTCAAATAATTAAACCTTAAACGGTCACAAAAACAAAACAAAACAGGTATTGATAATAAAAGAAACACTTGTTTATTAGACAAAACAAGGTGTTTGCTGGCACAAATGCCTGGTCTGGATAAAGGACAAACCTTACAATAAAAAATGCTGAGAAACAAATAAATGCTACTCTTGTAGAAGCGAGGCTTGTCTCTAGGCAGTTGTGGGATTGGAGGTGACTGCCGCTTCCTCTGTTCCAGCAGGCCGTCGCTTCCTAGGTCTACTTCGCTTCTTTTTCTCTCCGTCTGTCTTTTTGGGCTGCTGAGGCATGGATTTCTTCTTTTTCTTCAGGCAGCTAAGTGGGTTGGGATTGCTGGATTTCCTCTTACGTTTTTTGCCTCTCCTGTCATTACTGTCTTTGCTGAGGCCCTCCTTCTCTTTCAGAGTCTGGATGCTTGACTGTTGTGACGGGCTCACCAACTCACCCAGCTGAACCGCTTCAACGTGCTTCAGCGAACGCTCAGAGGCCTTGTCTAACACCATGGTGTTGAGGATAATGTAGAGCAGAGGAACCCCAGGGATCTTCTTCAGGGCCGTCGTCAACTCTTGATCCTGGTAAGAAGGATCATTGTGTTATTTTTTTTTTATTTATTTGACTAAATTACATTTTTGTCCAGTTATAGAGTCCTTACCTGAGTTGCAATGAAGTAGTGGTGTGGATTTGTCTCCCCAATCATTGACAACAAACACTCTGATGCAGGAACTGGATCTTTCATGTGTTTGCATTTCCTGATCTGAAATCTCTGTAAGATGAGTTTTGCTCCATAGAGGTCTTTTGCAAGGCTTTCAAGTTCCTTAAGTGCGCAGCTGCACAGAACAAAACAAATGTTATTACACAAGAACTAATACACTGACACAAATACTAGAAATACGAAGAGCATTAACTTACTTTGTGGTACAGAGCTGAACTTCTCCCATGAGATACTTTGGCAATTGCTCTTTGATTTGTATTTTATTCTTTAACGCTGCTTGACAAAACGTCCCATCAATTAATATCTGGAAAGGTTCCCTAAAGCAAAAGTTGTACTTGTAAAAACTGATGGTTTTCTTCGCGTGCTTCTGACGTTTTATCTTCATGGTGAATTATTGATATATAAAGCTCAGATAGTTTAAACGAATAGATTATCTTGACTGGATAAGAGAAGAATATCAATAAATCCGAACACGTGAGGACTGATACTCTTGATTTATGTAAATATGTCAACAAAACAGTTAAACGAATCTCACGCCAGTCTCAAACATTAACAAGCATGGTACCAGAGTGGTTACAGTAAATGGGTACCGGGTAAAACAGCAAATGGCTGTCGGTTATCTCGTTAATTCTAATAAATAATAATAGAAAATAAATGTATAATAACTAAAATTAATATATATGTTTGATTTATTATTATTAGATAAAGACTTTCAGAATTTTATTAGTTAACTCACTCTAGGAACAGTTCACAGTAGTCACTCTTTCTTCTGACCACTTTTACAGCTGCACGTTCTAGTGAAGGGAAGTCTGAATCCTTTCGCGAATCGATTCCTTTGAACAGTTCATTTCTTTGCAAGTTACCAAAACCACCATAATGTGGCGAATAAAGAAATCCGTTGTCACATATTGCTCTTGATTTTTTGTAATCGCTTTAGTTTGTTTTTTTTAACCGGTTCAAGTTACCCATGCATTAAAAAGATCCGATTCAAATGGATGATTCATTCATCGCTATCAGGTTCACCGGAAGGCACCGGTTTAGCGGTTTTTTTTTTTTTGGTTTAGCGGTTTTGTATCCCCGGCGCGGGTGAAGATGGCATCCCATAAAGAAACCCCGTCTGGAAAAACCCTGGATTCTCCCGTCAAACAAATCCAGCTAGAAGGACTGGTAAGACCACGTTTAACAGAATCAATGTAGCTGAGTCCACAGAGAGTGAACTAGGGTGTTTACACGTCTCTGTTGGTTAGTTCACCTGCAGATCACTGTGCAGACTGATGTGATGACAATATGCCAAACTGGAAATAATAATAAGAAGAAATGATAATAATAATAATAATAATAATAAGTCCCTGGTTTTTATAATTATGAAGTAGCTAAGTAAACAGCAATGTCTTATTGCAAACCCTCATTTGCCAAGCAGCTGTTTTCTTTTAATGCATAATTAATTTAATCGAATTACTTCTATCAGATTGTAGATCATTGCTTCAGTTTTACAGGCCTGAACAGAAGTCAAATTATTTTTTGCTGCGTTTTTGTAGTTAATCTGTTTGTATGGCCACAGTAAATTCACTGAACCTAATTAAACTCAATGATGCTTATGGAAGCTTCTCGCTCGTTTTACGTTCCTATCTCGCTCCCCACTGCTAAGGAATGAGTGTGAAATGTTGTGAATGTACAGGAATGTTAGTTTTTGCTTTGTTTCTTGCAGTGCAGCCCAAAAAAAGCTGTTTCCTGTCAAGGTGCCTCAAGTAAAGCTGCCATCGTTGATTTCATAGATTTTCTATCCACTTGTCCCACAGCCTGTTTTGAGGCTTTACTAAAGCTCAGCTCCCTGTTTGCTGTTGGTTGGAACTGTTTGAATTATTATTTTTTTTTTTTGCCCGTTGGCTTTCCAGAACATTCTCTGCGGTGTCTTGATGCTCATACTTAAAGATGCTGATGGTTCATGTGCCTTCTTGCACAGTCTGAGCTGGAACGATGCTTTTGAGGAAACATTTTGGACTTCCTGAAGGTTTTGTTTGTTTGTTTGTTTGTTTGTTTGTTGGGTTTTGTCTCTCCCACGATTTTACTGACTAAGGTTTTTCTTTCGTCCCTCATGCATGCATCACTGGGAGTTTTGTTCTTTTAGTTTTTTGCTCAGTATTTGCAGACATCACCATTCATTGTCTCTCTGTGCTGCAGAAAAATGTGTACAGACATGGATGATGGGTTCAGAATAATGTAGCACTTTCCCCTTTTGTATGTTTACCCAGAAGATAAAAACAGTCAAAAGTTTTGTGACTTTTAGATCCTGTTTAAATGCAAGTGTATTCCAAAAAGTTGTCGAAATATACTTTAAGCGAATATACAGTACAGTTCAAAAGTCAGTAAGATTAATACTTTTATTCAGAAAGGATGCGTTAAATCGAAAGTGACAAGAAAAACATATATAATATTAAAGATTTCTAATTCAAATAAATTATTTTCCAGTGACCTTTCAATTTATCAGAGAATCCTGAAAAAATATATCATAATTTCCACACAAACATTAAACGGCACAACTGTTTTTAAGATTGAATTTTTTTTTTCTTGAGCACCAAATCAGCACATTAGAATAATTTCTGAAGGATCACGTGACACTGAAGACTGGAGTAATGGCTGCTGAAAATTCAGTTTTGCCAAAACAGGAATATATTACAAATCTAAAATACATTCAAATAGGAAAATGTGTTTTTTTATTATTAAATAAATCTAGCAATCTTTATGAACTTCTGTAAAAAAATTAATGCCGACTCCATATGTCTGACTAGTAGTTTTTGTCTATTTTCTGTAACAAACTGCTATTTTAAAACATATTAACTTGCTATAGTATAAAATAAATAGTATGTTTGATGTTTAAAATGGTTATACAAAATTTAATTTAAATGTTTTTAGGCTGAAAAACTTTTGATTGATTATTGCTGTCACTTTCTCATACCCTTGTAATCAACCCCATCCCCATGAAACAAACAATTAGGAGGCTTTGTGCACATTCATGTAAACTTTAATAGATGCCGTAATCAATCTTGGGTTGTCATTTGATGACAAATTGTGGTTATGATGGGTACTAATGTCAATATCAATTGACAGCGGCTGTCTGTCTTTGGAGCCCCTAGAGCGCTCTAATGTCGGTCCATCTTCATTGTTTTTAATAATCAGAATCTGATTTTTTTGTTTTTCTTTTGGGCTCTTAGTGAAATCACCAGATCCCATTATATTTTATTCAAGGCAAGGCAAAAGCATTTGCAGGTCACTGGAAACGCATCTGATGTGGGTGTTATTGATATGCTTGTTTTCTTGTTAATCCTCCCCTGTGAGCAAAACAGCGAGTTAAGAAGGGATAGAGGAAGACCCTGATATTACCAACTGCTGTATTTTCCCTTTCGGTTCAGCCACCTGAGCATCAGGCATTGTTGCTGTGCTCCATTTTGTAGACCTGCTGTTCACAGAGTTTTTAGATGAATACAAATAAGCTAAATGTATAAAGCAGGTGGATTAGAGGCAACTGCTTCAGGGTGGGTAAGCAGCTTAAACGGAGAGCTCTACAAATCCCTTCCAGGGATATGTATCTTCTCAGCTCTCTCTCTTTCTCTCTCTCTCTCTCTCCATTATGTGAAACTCTTTATTTTTGACCTTTCAGGCAAAAGCTAAGCACTTTTTAAGCAGTGTGAAATAAGGTCTGCTTATGCATGAGAATCATAGCAGGGCAATGTTTAAATCATTTCTGATTTCTGATTCCCCTAGGAATTTGTTTCTCTTTTTTTTCATGCTAAAAATGTTAGTGCATATATAAATCTCCCTAGACGCTTTGCTAGAACATTGCCCGTGATCCAGGTGTGAGGAAGATGGTCAACAGGGGGCAGCAGTGATCCACTAAAATCACTGAACTGTGTCACTCTTCACTTCATGGGCTTCAGCACTACCTTGCATCTTTTCAAACGGTGACATCGGGCTGTCAGTTTCTTTTGAACACACTGAAGGGTGAGAGCAATAACTAAGCATCAATGGGTGCCATTGCCTACTAAGCAGACAGGGCTTTTTGAATATTCTACAGTATATTTATTAACTAAACTGTGTGTGTTTATATATTTTTATATGTAAAGTAAATATGCTAGTAATATGCATGCTAATAAGCAACTAGTTAATAGTGAGAATTGGGTTAAAATAATTCTCACTATTAACAAGTTGCTTATTGGCATGCATATTACTAGCATATTGAAGGTTTATTAGTTCTTCTAATGCACATAATGCCTTCTGTATGACCACATTTTAGAACCCTTAAACCTACCCCATACCTAAACTTAAAGGGTTAGTTCACCCAAAAATGAAAATTCTGTCATTAATTACTCACCCTCATGCCGTTTCAAACCCGTAAGACCTTCGTTCATCTTCGGAACACAAATTAAGATATTTTTGATGGAATCTGAGAGCTGTCTGACCCTGCATAGACAGCAATACAACTGAAATGTTCCCAAGTCCAGAAACGTAGCAAGGAGATCTGTAAAATAATCCATGTGACATCAGTGGTTCATCCGCAATTATACGAAGCTACGAGAATACTTTTTGTGCGCAAAAGAAAAAAAATAACGACTTTATTCAACAATTCGTCTCCTCCGCGTCACCCTGTAGCGCCATTTTGAAGAGTATCAGCTGGACGTAAACAGCGTATGCTGTTCTGTGTCAGCTGTGTCACACAGATACGCTGTTTTCGTTCAGATCAAATCACAACAAAGTAGGAAATGTCACCCTGTAAACAGCGTATGCTGTTCTGTGACGAATTGTTGAATAAAGTCGTTATTTTTTTTCTTTTGCGCACATAAGTATTCTCGAAGCTTCGTAAAATTACGTTTATTTTACAGATCTCCTTGCTACGTCTCTGGACTTGGGAACATTTCAGTTGCGTTGCTGTCTATGCAGGGTCAGACAGCTCTCAGATTCCATCAAAAATATCTTAATTTGTGTTCCGAAGATGAACGAAGGTCTTACGGGTTTGAAACGACATGAGGGTGAGTAATTAATGACAGAATTTTTATTTTTGGGTGAACTATCCCTTTAACAACTACCTTACTCACTTTTGATAAGCAACAAATTGAGAGTTTATTGAGGAAAAAATCTTAATTAATAGTGAATATGTGTTCCAGATTCTAAAGTGTTACCATAATAATTTTATAATAATTAAGATGTTTTTAAAAAAAAAGTCTCTTATGCTCACAAAGCCAAGGCTGCATTTATTTGATGAAAAATTATTTATTTGATGAAGTTTTATTACAGTTTAAAGTAACTGTTTTCTATTTTAATGTATTTTAAAATGTAATTTATTCCTGTGATGGCAAAGTTTTTTTCAGCGCCCATTACTCCAGTCTTCAGTGTCACATGATCCTTCAGAAATCTTTATATTTAAAAATGCTCATGTGAAAATAAATGATTTCCTCGTCTTTTTCCTATTTGAATGGAAATGGAAGAATGCATCTGGTTTAGGCTTTTAATCCCTTCTATGTTTATGATCAAAATTGCTGGTTCCCTTCATACCAATGGAGAAATATCCACAGTTTGCACAGTATTGGCGGGTCAGGTTACTTTACTCCGGTGCTTTTTATGACTAATGTGTTTAGGTGTCTTTAAAAGATGTAGACACAGTAATTCACTCTCTCAACAACCTTTTGGCAGATTCAGAAGGTGAGTGTGAGTGGAGTTTATATACGGCCCTTGAGGGCCCTCTGCGAGGCGATAGCACAGTGACGGCAGGCTGTGAAGTGCAGATTAACAGGCTGAGAGAAGAACTTGATTCGCCGTAAACCTGGAGCACTTCTACAGCAAGTGTAAAAGATTGATGGCTGAGTCGGTGCAGAGGGCGCACAATAAGACTCTGGCAAGCAACAGGAAGTAAAGCGAATCTGGATTTTGTATTTGACCTTCAGCATTCCTCACAATTGCCTGCTGTGCCATTTCCCGGCTAAGGTCAAAGTGCCAACAGGAGACTACCATCACTCCGATTGAAAGCAGTTTTTTTTTATTTGTGTCCAAAAACATTTAATCGCCATTTCATAACTCAGTTTGTCACTTTAAAGTTTTAAGCATCTTTTAAAGCAGCTTTTATATAGCTTCTACAGTTTTCGTTCTGGCACAAAGTAGATGTCCATCTGCCCGAGGTCATACGTCCACTTTTTTTCGGAGAAGCCGTTTGGTGTGCACCTTGCCGAACAGTCTTGCTTCTCTTCCTCATGACTTTGCAGTGTCTGAGTTTCAACATGCTTGACACATGGACTACAGGGACTAGCACTCAATGCCTGCCTCATTCTCACTCTGGATCCCTGATGACTTTGGCTTGTGTTAGAAATCACTCTCTTTTCGACCTGTGAATGCCACTTGCTCTGTAGCTCTCCCAGTCACCTTGTCCCACTAAGACAATGAGCAAGGGCTTTGTTGAAACTTGACACATCCTGATGTACACATTGCTTTGTGAACTCGTTGTTTTCCATTTTAGCTGTTTCTTTGCTGTGTTCTGTCAGAATGTTCTAGGGTTGTAACGATATACTGGTATCACGGTTTGAACGTGCATGGTTATCATACCGTAAACATTTGCATATCTACGGTAACGGTTAAAAAAAAAAATGAATGAAAAAAAATCTCACCTGCGCATATGCAACTTATTTCCGCTAGGCTGCTTCACTCTGCATTCACTTGGCTGCTTACACACACGTACAGTGGAGAAAATGACAGAGACAGAGATTATATCTAATCTCCATCCCCACCGGAATAAAAGTTCCATTTAACTTGAAATTATGACAAATGTATTAGCATTGTACAATGTACTTCAAAGTTATAATAACAACAATAATAATATTCTTTATAATAATGAATTTATTTAAACATTATTTTTAAGAAGTATCATGTTAGTCAATGTTTTAACTTAGTATGCCTCTGTTGTGCAGAACTTTGCCACTGCTTACACACACGTACAGTGGAGAAAATGACAGAGACAGAGATTATATCTAATCTCCATCCCCACCGGAATAAAAGTTCCATTTAACTTGAAATTATGACAAATGTATTAGCATTGTACAATGTACTTCAAAGTTATAATAACAACAATAATAATATTCTTTATAATAATAAATTTATTTAAACATTATTTTTAAGAAGTATCATGTTAGTCCACGTTTTAACTTAGTATGCCTCTGTTGTGCAGAACTTTGCCAAAAATAAAAGTTGTTAAAGTTTCATTTGATAACATTTAAAAAAATGTATTAAAATGTTAAAGTGTGATATATACATAAGGTATCATTTAAAACGAAATTAAGTTTATTTATTATTTTTTTCAGAAGGGAGACTTCAATACTTTCATTAAAATGGTTTCAAGTTTGTTGTAATAAAGGATTTGTTCACTCAAATAACTTGTTCTTATTCTTTTAAGAGTCATTGTTACTGATAAGAATTATTGTTTAATATATACGGTGATACCGTGATATTTTCTGAGACAATTATCATACCAAGAAAATCTCATACCATTTCAACCCTACATACCATTATCCAGTATCAGCTAGATCTCTGTAATTATTATCTGTGGAGACAATAGCTGTAGTTCATGGATTGCCCCCATGTTTGATTCTGTTACCTTTTGATTTACCAGCACAGATAGGTTGCACATCCATGTGTTTGCATGTTTTAAATTTACTGCGTTGTCTTTGTTAATTTTTACAGTTTTTTGTCATAGTTTTTGTCTTCTCAGTCCTAGACTTTGGTTTTAGTTGGATTATTTGAACCAATCTTATTTATTTATTTTTTTGTAATATTTTTGTCCTTTAAGAGATTAAAGATTAAGCTCTATTTTGTCCCAGATCCACCTACTACCAAATTCCTCTCAGCACCTTTCCAGGAATCCCTTCCACTGTCCACCCTTTATCATTTATAGTTCCAGAACATGCTTTCAGATGGACTATTCAACCTATTCAGACTATACACATATTTAGACACAACACCAGTCAAATGTTGGTCATATTATTGTTTTGTTTTTTGAAAGAAGTCTCTTATATTCCATAAGGTTCAATTGATTTCATAAAAAAGCTTTATATAAAAGAATTTTTAGCAGCCATTACCCAGTCTTCAGCATCACATGATCCTTTAGAAATCTTACCATTGCCATGCGTTATACGACTGATAGACTGCAACGGTTGGAGTTAAAAATCATCAAATGTGTTCTACTGAAGAAACAAAGTCACCTACATCTTGGATGCCCTGGGGGTAAGCAGATAAACATCACATTTTCATTTTTGGGTTAACTATCCCTTTAAGACTAACATATTGATACCAATACCCCAAAAATTTAAATTTTGATTTCATGGGGACTTTAAAAAACACTTTCTAAAGATGGCTGCTGAAAATTAATTACAGGAACAAATTAACATTTAAAAAATGTAGTACAATTGAAAACAGTGTATACGTTTTTATTTGTAACAATATTTGACAATTATTGCCGTTTTACTGTATTTTGATCAAATAGATGTGGCCTTGGTGAAAATAAGAGGCCTCTTTAAAAAACATTAAAAGCATCTTAATTATTTCAAACTTTTGTATCAATAAATAATAATAAATAAATTCACTTATTAGTTACTTAAAGAAATTTGTGTATGTGCATATTTTAAGCACTCATAAAAGGTTTTGAAGATCATGGAAAAACAGAAATTCAGTCAAGTGTGAGTGTTCATGCTTGTGTTTCTGTGTTTCAGGTGGTGATGAAGATCATCAAGCATTACCAGGAGGAAGGTCAGGGCAGTGAGCTGGTGCAGGGGGTGCTGCTGGGGCTGGTGGTGGAGGACAGGCTGGAGATCACCAACTGCTTCCCTTTCCCTCAACACACAGAGGACGATGCTGACTTTGATGAAGGTAAGGGAATAAAGTTGTGCTCATTGCCTTAATCATTTGTTAGCACTATTCAGACAGGATTAATTTTCTAAATGGCGTTAGAGTTTGTAAAGTAGGCCATCTGCCATCATTATTGTTGCAACTGTTTCGATTATTTGAATTTTACCCACAGATCAAATTTAGCTTCATTTTGCTTCTCATTGTATCAGTGCGCTAAGTAATACCCATCACTGATGCCACCCAGTTGACTTCCTCAGAAATGGAATCTTTACTGAATATATTTTGGGCTCCCTGAAGAAGTATTGAAATAATCATTTTAAGCCGCTTTGCGGAGAAAGCGAATGATTTGGTGACATGGATGTTGAGATGTGCTACATTAAGCACTGATGGAGTGCAGATAGAGAATACACACAAATACGTTTTCTGGGAACATTATAAATGTGTTCACTGCTAGATAGTGATCCTGCTATTCCAAATGCAGTTTAGATCGGTCTGCCTTAAATTGTGCCTGATACAAATTTCTGATTTTATAAGCAGGCATTTGATTAGAAACACACCGTTATTATGCAGGGCTCTTTCTCTCATTCTTTTTTTCTTTGTCTTTCTCAGCTTTTTCAGTATGTGCAAACACACAGAAAATAGGGAGGTGAATAAGTAGATGTATTACCCATCATGAAAATATTTGAACCACCAAACCTGGTGTTTGTAGCCTGTATTTTTAACTGCAGATCTGCCATTGCCCTACTCTCCAGTTAGCCAAAGTGGTTTGAATGTGGCTCGTTTGTGTCTGACTGCAGATTTTCGATTATTGCTTAAAGGGATAGTTCTCCCAAAAATGAAAATTCTGTCATTAATTACTCACCCTCATGTTGTTTCAAACCCGTAAGACCTTTGTTCATCTTCGGAACACAAATTAAGATATTATTGATGAAATCTGAGAGCTTTCTGACCCTGCATAGACAGCAACGCAACTGACACGTTCAAGGCCCAGAAAGCTAGTAAGGACATCGTTAAAATAGTCCATGTGACATCAGGGGTTCAACCGTAATTTTATGAAGCTACGAGAATACTTTTTGTGTGCAAACAAACAAAAATTACAACTTTATTAAACAGAGAAGAAATTGTTGAATAAAGTCATTGTTTTTGTTTTCTTAGCACACAAAAAGTATTCTCGTAGCTTCATAAAGTTAAGGTTGAACCACTGATGTCACATGGACTATTTTCATTTTTGAGTGAACGTTCCCTTTAAGGGTCTTTCATATACGGTAATTTACAAATGTTGATGCTATTATTCAAATTCAAATATTATTCAAGTTATAAGATGATGCTTTTATTCAAATTGGTGTTTAACCAACTATAAAATTCTGATATATTGTTTTATTTACTGTTGTTTTATGCAGTTATGCACAGAAAATCTAAATTAAGCAACATTTATTTCAATTAAACCATGAAATGTGCACTTTTATTGCTCGTCCTTCCATTACATCACATTAAACTCCTCTACAAGTGTAAACTTTTCTATTTTATCACAGCGCTGTGTCTAGCCTGCCAGCCTCCGTTTACTACCTGCCAGCTCGTCAGTGATCACTAAGGAAACGTCATCGTCGATAGTCGAGCTAGTAAACAGTGAAGTAAATTGCGGTGTAATTCAACAGAAACCTGTATCGGAGCAAAGGTTTGCGGCTCAGCTTTTATAGGGCTTCTCCAGAGAGCGCTAGCCAGAATGCCTCATCAAGCTCGGTCTGGAGAGAAGTGAGAATGGGCTGCTTTCAGAGCAGAGCGAAGGACTGTGAGTTGTTTATTTGCTTTTACGGCTTGTGAGATCACAGGTGTAGCTGGTGAGATGGCTGTGCATCAAGGGAGGGAGAATGAGGCAGGGTTGCATTATTAAAAGTGTAATGGGCTGTAGAGGCTCAGAAATGGAGGCAGCAAAGGAACCAAAAATTAACTAGGGTAGGGTGTTGTTTTGTGGGCCACAAAAATAGGGCTGGGGTGATATGACCGTATATACCACAATGATAGAAAATATTTTGTTATACTGTTTATACCGTGAGATGGCATGATATAAAAAATCTGGAAAAAACAACAACAACAACCGTGGCCATTTATAATTTATGTCATCTGGGTAATCTTGCCTTTTGGTGTGCGTCAATGAAGTTTAAAATTAAATATTAAAGTATTTTAGTCACTAGAATAAAAATATGCATACTACATGACTATGCACTATATGTAACATTAAACTTATTATTTATAAAAAATACTACAGAGAATTTTTTATACTAATCGTCTAGTTCATGTGTACTTATTGGTACACAGAGCAGTTGAGATAAATCAGGCAGGTTATTTGTGCCTGACAATAACAATATTCATAATAATATTAGAACATCTTGGTATGTAATTATTCACTTAGTCACTAGAATAAAAATACAGTACTTCGTGATGTAAAATATTACAAATATTAATGATAAAAATAATAGAAAGAACAATATATTAGTAATATGATAGAGAATAACAATAATTTATTATTATTATTATTAATTGTATTGTTTTTTTAGTTGGTTAATGTTATTAATAGATTTTGAAATGTATTTATTTGTCACTAGAATACATCATGTAGTAATGTATTTTTTAATGTATAATATTATAAATAATAATAATAATAATACACTAATATTGTTGTATAATAAAATTATCTGTCTGTCTGTCTACCTGTTATATATATATATATATATATATACACACTAAACAAAATTATAAACACTTTTGTTTTTGCCCCCATTTTTCATGAGCTGAACTCAAAGATCTAAGACTTTTTCTATGTACACAAAAGGCCTATTTCTCTCAAATATTGTTCACAAATCTGTCTAAATCTGTGTTAGTGAGCACTTCTCCTTTGCCGAGATAATCCATCCACCTCACAGGTGTGGCATAACAAGATGCTGATTAGACAGCATGATCATTGCACAGGTGTGCCTTAGGCTGGCCACAATAAAAGGCCACTCTAAAATGTGCAGTTTTACTGTATTGGGGGGTCCGAAAACCAGTCAGTATCTGGGTGTGACCACCATTTGCCTCACGCAGTACAACACATCTCCTTCGCATAGAGTTGATCAGGTTGTTGATTGTGGCCTGTGGAATGTTGGTCCACTCCTCTTCAATGGCTGTGCGAAGTTGCTGGATATTGGCAGGAACTGGAACACGCTGTCGTATACGCCGATCCAGAGCATCCCAAACATGCTCAATGGGTGACATGTCCGGTGAGTATGCTGGCCATGCAAGAACTGGGATGTTTTCAGCTTCCAGGAATTGTGTACAGATCCTTGCAACATGGGGCCGTGCATTATCATGCTGCAACATGAGGTGATGGTCGTGGATGAATGGATATATATATATATATATATATTCATATATATAATAAAAGATACACACTGTTTACTCTTACTGTGATAAAATTATTCATGCCATTTTGGTCATACTGTCTACCCCTAACAGTAACTCCTGTGTAGTGCAGACTTAAAAAAAAATATTTAAAAATATATATTTGAGTCTGTTAACATGAGCACCTTTGAATCCACAACTGACTGTAATGACTTCCGATGCATTTATCAAGAAGAGTTGAGTTAGTTCTAATTCTAAATGAGAATTATTCAGCTTCAAGCGTAGTGCATCGCATCTCCAAGTATATATTAACTCAGTGATTCTGACACTGCCTGTGGTATCCTCACGGTTAATTTATTCTCCTCCTCTGCTACAGGGACTGTACATATGACAATGTGTGTTTGGGTGACCCTCTCCCACCCTTCCCATCACAGCATGTTTTTCTCCCTGTCTTTAGCCTGTAGGGCTGTGCCTGACAAATTATGGCATCTAATGGATATTTAAACACCCTTCATATGCAAAGCAAGGATCCTTGAACTGTACAGGCTGCAGAAAGGTGTAAATTCACTCTTTAATGAGCAGTCACGACTCCTTTGCTTGTTTTTTCCTGCGAGGCAATTGCTTTATTTATTACTAGAGTTTTAAAAGGTGAGTTTGACTCGGCTGCATTTCTTTACCTCCTTGTGAGTGTTTTTTTTTCCATGGGTGTTTTCATTTTCATCCATTATGAAAACCTGCCAGTGACCTGAGGTGACTTCCATCACTTCACTCCATTTTTACCTAGTGTTGGACTGCCTCAAACAGAGCAGAAGTCTTTCAGGTGGTTGGATTGAGTCTTATCTGATGGAGGAGTGCAGGTTTGCTTTAGAGAGACTGAAACAGGAGGGAGGAACACCTAAAGAGCGTAATACAAACAGACCGTCCCAGTCGAGATAAGCTTTGTCTGTGACCTTCCATTTCAGAGTCTCAAACAGACAATAAAAAAGGACATTAGATTCAGCTCTGCATATTTCTTAAATCCTTCTTAAATAATGAATGTTTTTGCTTTTTGTGCATCTTGTAAAGTGTGATTTTAGATTTGCCAATGCACATTGTAACCAATGCAACATCTAAATACACCTCCAGATTCAACCTCAAGCTGAAGAATTTTTAAAGTAATGTTAAAAATTTAAATACTTTTTCCTATCACAGGTTATTTTATTTGTTCTGTTTGGTATTGGCGTAAAAAATTCCCAGTGTACATTCAATTTACATTAAATAAACAGTAAATACTTTTCCTTACAAAATGTAGAGTGATATATTAATATTTATAATAGTTTATAAAAAATATTTGCACTACTGTTTAAAAGTTTGGGGTCAGTAGGATTTTTTTTTTTTTTTTACAAAGAAAAAATTAATATTTTTATTTAGCAAGGATGCATTAAATTGATCAAACGTGACAAATGCATTAATGATGTTACAAAGCATTTGTGTCAAATAAATGCCATTATTTTGAACTTTATATTCATCAAAGAATCCTGAAAAAAATTTATCACAATTTCCCAAAAAATATTAAGCAGCACAACTTTTTATAAACATTGATAATTTATCAACATTTCTTGAGCACCAAATCAGCATATTAGATTTCTGAAGGTTCATGTGAC